TTTCAGCCGTTAGGTTATATCTATGGTTGGGCCATATCTATGCCCCGGCTATATTCGGATCCCCGGCAGCAGCCAGGGTGGGGATTAAAAAAAAACAGCAAATTGCATCCCACATGGGGACGACCTGTTCTAATAATAGGAATAATAATTATTATTATGTGTTGAATGGCATATGAAACTAATAATATCATCATCATCATCAGGTGCCTTGCCGACTGGCCTGGGCGATCATGCCTCTCCATAATCCGCAATCTCCTGCAGCATGTATCAGTCAAGCATCTTCTCAAGATTCAAGCATATAGAATAATTTAAAATGTATAAACAAATACTTAGGGGGAAAAAAGTCTTTACATGGTTAGAATAGACCGCTTAAGAAGTTACAAACGTTTAGATGCGATTCAGCCCAAGCAATTTAAACAAAACTAAAAAATCTGGGGAGATCAGATGTGGGAGGGCGGCCTTCAAAATTGTATTTTGTATTTTAAAGTTGTTTTTCTCCCTTCCAGATTTGCATTTAGTGGGATTAACAACATGACAGGGATGAGAATTAAACAGCTTCCGGAAACCGTGTTCAATCGTGTAGCCATATAGCACAGTTATATCATTATCATCATCATCATTAATAACCTCTTCTGTCGCTAAGCATCGTGGAGTTAAATAATTGTTATTATTATTATTATTATTATTATTATATCTTGAAGGGCAGATAAAAATAATAATGTATTTTAAAAAAATATCACATGTACAAACAGATACTTTACAAGAGAACGTTTCTATCAAGGTTAGAAGGGATTGCTTACCTAACTACAAACGTTTTAATTTAACTGAGCCCAAGCAGTTAAAAACTGGAGGGGCAGGGGGAATTGCGGTTGTTACAGAAATTCCGGCGGGGCGCTCAAAATTGAGCCCCAGGTTTTAGCGCCCCTGGTGAGAATATGTGGACTCGTAACTTTATCCTGGCAGTTAGCGCTGCTGAGTTCAGCGTTTTGTTTGCCCCCGTGTGTGGTGATAGTGGGAATGAAAGGATGCTGGGGGAGTATTGACTGTTTTATTGATGTTTCGATCAGTGAAATATTGGAGAAAGCCAGGGAATTGATTTGTTGGTTTCTCGCTCTTCTTGGAATTTACATTCCAACGTTTTATATTACCCTTAGAGACAGGCATGGGAAGAAACGCTGGACTGATAGTATCTTTGTTAATAAGTTTAAAAAAAAGCAAAGATCCCTTTTCCACTCCCTTAGGCGTATATGGTGTTTAGGGCTAGGACTATATTTGAATAGACCAATCAGCACAAGATGGGTGATGTGGTCAGCATCATGCCGTCCGCCTTTACTTCCCGGGACTGCACCCGGTACCCACTCAAGTCTGGGTCGACCTGGGAGTCAAGGTCGTTTTTAATAAAAGTCTGGTTCCGCCAGGGAGCGAACCCACGACTTTCCAATCCGCACGCGAGCGCCTAGCATCATTGTAAATATTAATTATATTTTTTAGCAATATGTCCATTGTTTTCTATGTCATGTTTTATCCCCTAAGTGCCAAGCCTATAATAGCTTAATTCAATCTATTTTAAAGAACAGTAAAGTAAAGGACCTTTTTCCATGCCTTTTGGCGTATAGGTCATCTAGGGCTAGACATATATTGTGTAGATTAATCTGCAATTGCCTGGTGATGTGATCAGCATCACGCCAGCCACCTTTACTTCCCAGGATCTGTAGCTGATACCTACTCAGGGCTGGGTCGATCTGGAAACCAAGTCTTTTGGCAGCTCTATTCTAAGAAGTCTGTACTATATCTAATTATTGCCGTAACAAACGACAAACATTGATTAACTGGCGTCTGCCCAAAGTACAGGTAATTCAATGATGAGCTGTTGGGAGATACCTAAACAAATTGCGAAAAAAAGACGTTGGCATTGGATAGGACACACGCTGAGAATACCTCAAAACAAGTATAACTATAAGTTCTTTGCCCTGGAACCCACACGGGTATGGAAATAAATAAAGGCTTAAAAAAAAAAAAATACATAAACAGGGAAAACTTGAGCAAGAGAGTGAGGTCCAAATAAAAAAAAAAAATGGTCATGGATTGAGCTGCATGCCAGGAAAAGAACGACGTTGTATGAGTTGGCTTATTGTCGGCAGCCGCACGGTAAATTGCTTGGAACTGAAAGAGTACATATTAACTACAGATTGAGTTTAAATACTTCTAAAGTATCATCAGTCAGGTGCCGTCTCCATAGTGAAGGTTGGCTGAAATGGATTTCCATCACTGGCCGTCTCTTGTCCTTATCGTACGCTCTCTCTCTCTGACTGAAGCCAGTCAATCTCTTGATGGTGTCCTTCAAGTTCTATCGTTGCAAACCTCTTATTCTCTTACCTCCAGCCTTTTCCCTTTAGTGGGGCTTTTAAATGTGTGTTTTGTATTTTAATGTGGCCAAAGCATTAAATTGCCTTTTTTTTTAAATTTCTCTCAGCAGTTATGTTTTTGTCTGTAGCTTCACAGAAGCTCTGCATTTGACTGTTTTTGTTCCATGAAATACGATCTGTTCTTCTGTTTAAACCCATTTCCAGAGACTTAATTCGATTTTGTAGTTGCTTGTTCATGTCTAAGTGTCTGTACCATATAGCAGGATTATTTTCACACAATATTTGACGATTCTAATTTTTAGTGACACTACAATTCTGTATTAACTTAATCTAAGAATTAAGGTACATTGAGGTAATATAACAACCGTCAGCGATGGGGAAATGTCAGAAAACTAAAATGTATGGGAAATAGCCTCTGGGTTACCTGGTTACTATTGGGTTACCTGGTACAAAAAGAGTTCAGAGACTGGCAGTTCCTTATCTTCCGATTTTCAAAGTAAATTTTGAAACCTTCTTCTTCTTCTTCTTCTTCTTCTTCTTCTTCTTCTTCTTCTTCTTCTTCTTCTTCTTCTTCTTCTTCTTCTTCTTCTTCTTCTTCTTCTTCTTCTTCTTCTTCTTCTTCTTCTTCTTCTTCTTCTTCTTCTTCTTCTTCTTCTTCTTCTTCTTCTTTCTTCTTCTTCTTCTTCTTCTTCTTCTTCTTCTTCTTCTTCTTCTTCTTCTTCTTCTTCTTCTTCTTCTTCTTCTTCTTCTTCTTCTTCTTTTTCTTCTTCTTCTTCTTCTTCTTAAAGTCCGTGCAGTATGGCATTAGTCGTCATGTCTATCCACAACCTTCTGTTTCTTGCTCTTTCAGTCATTTCTGACACAGATGTTCTTACATGACTTCATGTTAAACTGCCTGGTATCTTCTCTCTGTCTCTCTGGTCCCATTTCTCCTCCAATATTATCCATCGCCACGATGTACTGCAATATTCTTCTTATCACGACATGACTAGAGAATGTAGATTGTTGGCTTCTGATGTGAGCAATCAGTTCTCTCCGTGAGTCAGTTTAGTGCAAGTCATCTTCATTGCCTTTGTTATCTGTTCAAGGTATTCACATCATTCTTCTATGAAACCACATCTCCTCCGTGTTTTTGAAACATAGGCTCCATTAATTAGTTTGTGTTTCTTATAATGTCTTTTTTTTTAAATTCCAGTTGAAAATACAGTTATATATAAGATGCTGGGTTGCCATGAGAATTACAAGACTTGAGTACGTCATGACAAAATGAAAGTTAAATGGTTTAAAGTTAAAATATTAAGTTGAAGTTAAAGTAAAGAAGATCGACGTCCTTGCACGACGTTTTATCTTATACGACTCCATCTCTCCCCGCAGAATGGTTAGCTGCCCTTCTAGAATCTCTTAACAACAACGAACTCCATAGCTCCGCAGATATCCCCAATTATCAACGTAAAAATTGCACCCGTGACCTAAACGATGCAACTGTTAACCGACGCAGTATGCAACGAACAAATTTATGCACAAAATTAACGAGTTAAAGTACGACGCTAATGTATACAAAAACAAAAAGCTTTTAAAAAAAATAGCTGACAGTAAAATGCTACCGCAAACAACATTCGCCCCCCCCCCCCCCCCCCCCCCCCCCCCCCCAAAAAAAAAAAACCCGTTAAGTGTGAATACGTGTAAATCGAATCCGATTGTTGGCAGTGGTGTGACCAAAATGATACTGATATAATAAAAAGTCAATAACGTTTTTTTTTTTAAATGATGTAGTTACCACGAGGTTTCTGCAAGTCATTTTTATTGGCAATTGCCATTTGTCATTCTTTTAACCCTCCCCCCCCCCTCTCTTCCCCCGCCCTCCCCGTCCCTCCCCAACCCCAGTCAGTTTTTGTGATTGTACGAAGCAACTTTCTACATGTTTTGTTGAAAAATGTGTTCGTGGTGTTATTTTTTTAACCCCATGTTGTCCCATTTCGTTTTCTGACTGAATCCGCTCTATCCTTGTAGATAGTTCTAGGTATTTCACATTCTTTGGTTCCTCAATAAATATGATCAAACAAAATGTTGCCATGTTAAAGTATCGTTTTCTTTAGGACAAATGTGGTGGCAGAAATAAATGTTTGGTAAATTATTAGTGCAGCAGTGGTAAAAGAAGGAAAGAAGAAAAAAAGAAGATGAAGAAAAAGATGATGATGATGACGTAGCATTAGTAGTAGTAGTAGTAGTAGTAGTAGTAGTAGTAGTAGTAGTAGTAGTAGTAGTAGTAGTAGTAGTAGTAGTAGTAGTAGTAGTAGCAGCATTAGTAGTAGTAGTAGTAGTAGTAGTAGTAGTAGTAGTAGTAGTAGTGGTAGTAGTGGTAGTAGTAGTAATAGTATTAGTAGTAATAGTAGTAGTAGTAACAGTAGTGGTAGTACCAGCAGCGACATCAGTGCTAGTAGCATTAGGTGCTACATCAGCAGTAGTAGCAGTAGGAGCAGGAAACGACGATGATGACAATGTTTAAAAAAATATTAAAGGAAGAAACAAAAGAGAGAGGGAGAAAACGATTTTTTTTTCCTTTTAATATTTTGAATTTAAGGATATGATCACCCAGTCATCAACGAACACACGGGTCTCCCAATCTGTTTGCAGGAGAAAGCGCCTTACACATAGCAATAGTGGTGGGAGACTTTGAGCTGGTGCAGCTGCTAGTGGAGGCCGGCGCAGACGTCAATCAGAGGGCAACCGGAAGATTCTTCTTGCCTGAAGATCAGAAGAAGGGCTACACAGGACACACGAATTATGAAGGTAACCCCAAAATGAAACCGGGTAATTTAAGGTATATTCTTGTTCTTCCTCTGTATTATGTTACTGCCTGTCACATATCACTCCTGTCGCGTGCCTAATGTAAGGATTTCTCCTTCAGAACCAACAGCACTCAGAGATAATTATGTTGAGTCGTTTGGCTCGTATTGGTCTAAGGGATTCCCCGTGGCCAATATACGCTCAACTTATCTCTGGAGTAGGGCAACTCAAGTATTGGCACTACAAAATATGTCAGTATATGAATACAATATTTCTAGGCACACTTGGCTGGACACCCCCACTACTTACTAAAGAAAGCCCCCAGGTTATGATAGGTCATTATCATAACCATGTTAACACATATAATGAAGATACATACACACACAACTGCTAAACACTTAAAAAGGTGAAATAGAGAAACCTAAGTCAGCCATGAAAATGAGTGCATGTAATCAGTAATGTATATATACATTAAAATATAGAGAAGCAGATGCCAGATTTCTATAGCTGGATTCCAGAATACAATGTCCAGATCACCAAAATTACGCAGACAGAAGGTCCTGGAGATGACACATTGTCATCATTGGGAAACATGTGAGCTGTGAGGAATATTGCAAGTAAGGCATCAAACTGAACTTATCCTCTTTCCGTCTATGATGCTTCCCTCAGCTCCTGATGATTCGACTGTCTTTGGTGACTCTGCCTCAACTGGATCAGCTGGTGGAGGAGTACCTCACCATAAAGGACACCTCAACTGGATAATTACACAGCAAATGGCTCCCACTAGTCATTAGCAGCACTGTCCATGAGCTACACACATGTTCTGGCACTGTAGGAAGTTTGGGGTATATGGCACCTCAAACTGACATCAATCTCCACACTTGGTAGTTGGGTGATAAGTGGTAGGTAATGGGTTCATTGATTGATGGGTTATGGTTGGTGGGTTATGGTTGGTGGGTGTTGGTTGGACTGTGAAACTTCTGCCAGCTCCTCACAAAGGATACATCCTGTCAAGAAATAACTCAGAATTAGTCATAACCAAGAGGGTAACATCTTGACAGGAAAGACAGAACAAGCATCAGTCATCATCCCCCATCTGCTTACTCCACCCTGCTCTCCTGTTTCATTCCTCAGAATGCCTCTCCAGACCAAGAGACACAAGTCTCTTATATTCATCTGTCTGTTTAGTGCAAGAGAAGGCAAGTCAGATATACAGTGGAGATAGATAGAGTGTTCTAACACATATATCACTCTCTCTCTCTCCCCTCCCCTCTGCACACAGACACCAATATCCACCGTCAGTACATTTATTCCTTACACTCCCCAAAAGCCCGTCTTACCATTCATTGATCTGGGTCAAACACACTCATACACTGGTCGACAAAGTCCTGACCTAATTCTGTCCCCATTTTGTATGCACAAACTTCCACAGTTAGTTTAAAACGTACACACTTATAAGGGTATTAGTTTTACCAGTATGGGTGGGTTATTGAGGGCAAAGGCTATTTAGTCTGTACAGGGGAAGGTCTACGTTCGAATCTGCTTCTCTAGCGATCAAGAACGGTTGAACGATGTGTGATCCCACAGCCGATACTGTTCTCTCTACAGCAGTGACTACTTTAACAGACATCATTTTAGGTACTCGTAAACTATAATTAACTTACCTAAGCATATGAAAAGTCTGAGACATTCCAGATTGCCTTATGAAATTGAAATTATACAGGCATCAATTGACACGTCTGGACGCTAGGAAGCTGGCAAAGAGAATGGCGTCACTTAGACGCTTCAGGCGTTGGTAACAAAAGAAGTCCCTAGTATACATGGGCAAGGAGTGCATCGGTTTCTAAGAAACCTCAAATAACTCCTCTAATATATATCAAAGATATATACATTTAAAAGTGGAGTTTAGTTAAAGCAACCAGAAAAGGTAGACATAATAATGTTGTCTAATAAAGGCCTATATATATAGACTTGACAATAAAATTTTGCCTGATAGGAGTAGGAAAAGGCTGTTCCACCTATGAGCTCCCTGATTGGGTATTAAAAGAAATTGGAACAGCTAAAGCATACCAGAGTCATTTTGGATCTGAAGCTTTAACTTCATCATCCAATCTAAGTTTATCCTGTGGATCTTGTAAGGCAAACATCAGTAAAGATGAGGACATGATTCTTTAGGCTAAGTCATATCAATTGCTATGTAATTTGTGACAATTTCCATTTGGATGTTTTTTTCTAGATGTTTTCCACACAGATTTAGATGTTTTTAGATATTTTTTGACTTCATTTTGGATGTGTGTGTTTGTTTTCAGCACTCAGTAATGGATGTGGTCAACATCACACCGGCCGCCTTTACTCCCTATGACTTCACCTGGTTCCCATTGAGAGCTGAGCTGACCTGGTAGCCAAGGTCATTATCGAGGGGAACAAAATGTCCATCGATGTCAGGACCAGAACCCACGGCCTTTGGATCCGCAGGCGAACGTGACGATAGTGTTACTATATACCACAAAGAGGCAAGGTTATGAACAGTTCTGGGTGGTTCTCTCCGTGCCACAAAGTGTGGCCAATGTTATAGAGACCATGTGTTGCCCATGCAATATGATCCCTCTCTAAGCCGGCCTTGCTTACTCCAGAGGAAAGACAACACCAATAAGTTTGATACAAAGCTTACAACAGAAGCAGTCGGGTCAGAATAATTTTCTATAAGGGATACAAGAAAGAAGAAGAAGAAGAAACAGACGAAGAAGAAGAGAAGAAGAAGAAGGAGGAGGAGAAGAAGAAGAAGAAGAAGAAGAAGAAGAAGAAGAAGAAGAAGAAGAAGAAGAAAGAAGAAGAAGAAGAAGAAGAAGAAGAAAGAAGAAGAAGAAGAAGAAGAAGAAGAAGAAGAAGAAGAAGAAGAAGAAGAAGAAGAAGAAGAAGAAGAAGAAGAAGAAGAAGAAGAAGAAGAAAAAGAAGAAGAAGAGGAGGAGGAGGAGGAGAGAAGAAGAAGAAGAAGAAAAAGAAGAAAGAAGAAGAAGAAGAAGAAGAAGAAGAAGAAGAAGAAGAAGAAGAAGAAGAAGAAGAAGAAGAAGAAGAAGAAGAAGAAGAAGAAGAAGAAGAAGAAGAAGAAGAAGAAAAAGAAGAAGAAGAAGAAGAAGAAGAAGAAGAAGAAGAAGAAGAAGAAGAAGAAGAAGAAGAAGAAGAAGAAGAAGAAGAAGAAGAAGAAGAAGAAAAGAAGAAGAAGATGAAGAGGAAGAAGAAGCTTCCGGAGCTTCTCTCCTAGACCGGCTGCCATCCAAGGTTATGGCTCTGGTCTACCCTGTCAAGGCATCAGGTTTTGGGATGGCATTTCCTGTTCCTAAGCAACTAACAATGATTGCCAGGAAATGGCTAATGAAAGTTGAACATTATATACAACAATGAAAATGAGTCAAACAAAGTTTTTTGGTCATGTGATGAGAAAAGGAGCACTTGAAAATGTCGTGACGACTGCAACGATCACTGGTAGAAAAGGCAGACCAAAATGGGCAGATATTCTATTTTTAAGGAAATGATGGATTTAGATAGCATTGTGAGTATTGATTGACTGCGTCTTACTGATTGGTGTGATGTGATCTGTTCGGTGGTGAAATGCTTTAGACAGTGGCAAAGAGGAATATCATCAGTGGAATTGATCCAGAACAAGTTGACCTAGAACATCCAGAACAAGTTGACCTAGAACATCCAGAACAAGTTGACCTAGAACATCCAGAACAAGTTGACCTAGAACATCCAGAACAAGTTGACCTAGAACACCAAAGACCGAGATCTGTGGAGATGAATGAACACCTACGCCAGCTAGCAAGGCACTTGATGATGATGATGATGATCATGATGATGCTGATGATGATGATGATGATGCAAAAAAGGTATCCTTCCAATGTGGATACAATAATGAAGCCGTAAATGAACCGACAATCCGTTGTTCTCGCAGGATATGCATATTATGGTGAGTACCCTTTGGCTTTTGCTGCCTGTCTGGGACGGACGGAGATCTACGACTACCTCCTGGAACATGGTGCTCATCCTGACCTGCAAGATGTCTTCGGAAACACCGTTCTGCATATGGTGGTCATTTCTAACCAATCAGTAAGTTGTCTGTTCTTACATTTTTCCCACCTTCTTCATCTCCTTCTCGTTTTATTCCTGTTCCTTACCCACTCTTCTTGGGCTTCTTCTTCTTCTTCTTCTTCTTCTTCTTCTTCTTCTTCTTCTTCTTCTTCTTCTTCTTCTTCTTCTTCTTCTTCTTCTTCTTTTTTCTTCTTCTTCTTCTTCTTTTTCTTCTTCTTCTTCTACCTCTTCTTCTTCTCTTTTTCTTCTTCTTCTACCTCTTCTTCCTTGTATCTCTTCAAATTTTACCTGCTTACATTAACTCGTTCGATCCCATTTTATATATATATATATATATATATATATATATATATATATATATATATATATATATATATATATATATATATGACCATATTTGCCCAAAATGTTACACTGTAATGTCATACAAATTTAACTCTCTCTGAAGATATTCAAATAATTAAACAATTTTTTTTTTAAAAAGTGTTTACGATGACATTTTGGAGACTGTGGGGTATTTTTAAAAATGTCATAGCTTACTGAAGTTTAGGAGAAGAAGAAACATGTTTAACAAATAGAATCAGAAACAGATGCAGCAGAGAAGAAGTAGGGGCCGTATCTGTGTAATCTGTTTTTGTCTGTTGTAACTGCGGTATCGTTTCGTTTACCACAGTCATATATTTTTAAATACTGCCGTGTGTTAAAATCTGCCATCAAGCGCTTTTGTCTACTGGCATCAAATGACATCTACTACAGCCTGCTATCATGCTTTGTCATAGATTGTCATCTGCTGTCATGTATTGTCATCTCCTGTCATGCGATATTATCTACTTCCATGTAATGTCATCTACTGAATCCTATTGTCAGCTACTGTCATGCGTTGTCATAGATTGTCATATACTGTTATTTTTTTGTCATCTGCTGTCATCGATATTCATCTACTGTCATGTATTGTCATTTGTATGCATATTTTGTCACAAAGTCTCTTGAATTGTCATCTGCTAGCATAGATTGTCATAAACTGTCCTCTGTTGTCATCTGCTGTCATATATTGGCATCTTCTGTCACGTACTGTCATCTGCCGACTGTCATGTACCGTCACCTAGTGCCATGTACTGTCATGTAATGATTTACTGGCCTACAGGAAATGTACCGCTACGCCTTACATCATCACAAAATCAGAGCCAGCACTTGTGTGAAGAACAATGACAAACTGGCTCCTCTAGCATTGGCCTGCAAACTGGGCAGATATTCTATTTTCAAGGAAATGATGGATTTAGATAGTATTGTGAGTATTGATTGACTGCGTCTTACTGATTCATGTGATGTGATCTATTCGGTAGTTGGTGAAATTTTGAAAAGCAGCTGGTCGAGTGGTTAAAAAAGCTGGGTTCTCATGCGGGAAACGCAGGTTCAAATACTCTGTAAGATCATTGATTTGTTTCCTCACCTGTACAATATGTGGCGATAGTACTTGCCATGCGGCCCAAAATCCTCAGATTAAAAGACTTCTCTACCTTCACCGCAAAACTGGTAAACTGGTTTTTGGCAGTGAATAGTTTCATCATCATCAAAGTGCTCTGCCGGCTGGCATGGGCGATTGCTGTCTTCTCCTATCTTTTTTTTTACATAATTCTTCTTGACTGTGACTTCTGATATTGTGACAAGTTTTCGCGTCTTTGTTTTCTTCAAAACATTTAGATAACTCATTACAGCTGTCTGAAAAAATTCATTCTTCTGTAAAACCACATACCTGAGGCCTCGAGGAATTATTCTGGCTTGTTTATTAATTGTCTGCGATTCATAGCCCTATGTTAAAAAAAAATTCTGTTTTTTTTTTTTTTTGGGTTTGTTTGTTTTTTTTTTTTTTTTTTTTTTTTTTTTTGTTTTTTTTTTTGTTTAAACATACAAGAATATTTCTTTTTCTTACATCCATGAATGTGGAAGTAAATAGTTTCGGAAAATGGAAAAAAAATCGTGCATGGGCAGGAAAAGTAACGAGGTCGCCGATAACGAGACGGATGAGAACGATAAATGTATTAAATACTTGAGACATTCAAAATAAAGTGCTTTTTACGCATATTATGATGGAAAACTGCCTAATGTGACAGGGAAATACGAATTGTTGGCGGAAGGGGGGAGGGGGTTAAAAAGGGAATGGAGGCGGGGGGGGGGGGGGGGGTTAAAAAAAGGGGGATGGAAGGGTGGAGGAGTTCAATAAATGCAATAAAAGCTTGGTTAATTTGTTTTTGTTATAGCCGCCGTCGTCGAGGTTTAAGCTTCACTGCAGATGTGCCACTCCATTATTGCCCCGAATAAATGAATGAATGAATGAATGAATGAATGAATGAATGAATGAATGAATGAATGAATGAATGAATGAATGAATGAATGAATGAAGAATCGACACTACTGCACTCAGAATATTCCCATACGTGTTGCGTCCCCTTCTTCAGTAAGAAACCAATAGCTGGTATGGTAATAGTACCAGCTGCGACCTGGTCAAAAGTCTGTCTATGCTTCCTCTCCAGTGTTAGATATCTTCCACAACCACCTCTTTTCACCCCCCCCCCCTTTCCGCCTCGCCCCCTCCCTCCTTTTTAAAACTGTTTTAGCCTGTCAATGTATGCATTCTCTGTCTGCTGCATTGCACTGTCCATTTGGTCCAAGAGAGCATTCATCAAGTCTGCTTGATCATAAACATCACACAAAATGTCCTCTATTGTCCTATTTAATATGATAATAGTAGTAGTAGTAGTAATATTAATAATAATAATAATAATAATAATAATAATAATAATAATAATAATAATAATAATAATAATAATAAACACTAAACAAATAATTAGTCCTTGCAAAATCTAGAAACTTGTCCGTGAAACATGCATAAGGCCGTTGCTAGAGATGCCAACACCGACAATCGCCACCAAAATTGCAAGTTGTCGTTTACGAAGTTATCACGACAAGTTGGTCTCATACACGCAGTATTGATGTACATCTCTTAGTGTCCATTAATATTGTACTATATTGTTAGATGACCCCAAACAAAGGGAACTCTGGAATCCCCAAACCAGTACCCTATTCTATGGGTGTTATGATATGACTTCTTTCGATGTTCGCAGAAAGTGCAGAAAGGCTTGCCTGTGAACCAACACATAATACCCAAGAATAGTAGAATGGGCTCGCCCTTCGGTGTTTTCCTGTGTTTTGGGTCGTCTAAAATTATAGTACCTCCAGTATCCCCAAACATGCCTTAGATTTAATAACGAACTGTCTTGATAACGAATTTTTTTTTTCAGGAATTTTGGCGTTTCAGTACCACGCTCTGTTCAGCACATCCACTCCATACACTGGATACTATAGCACCGGATGGAAGTACAAGTAAGTGCACAATGCTTGACAGGAGTATAGACATATATTCATAGCACTTGGTAGGTGGAAGTATATATACATTTAAACTAATAGGTGTAGCAACACTAGTAATAGCGGTAGTAGTAGTAGCAGCAGCAGTAGTAGTAGTAGCAGCAGCAGCAGTAGTAGCAGCAGCAGCAGTAGTAGCAGCAGCAGCAGTAGTAGTAGCAGCAGCAGCAGTAGTAGTTGTAGCAGCAACAGCAGTAGTAGTAGTAGCAGCAGCAGTAGTAGTAGCAGCAGCAGTAGTAGCAGCAGTCTGGGTGGTCTCGAGGTATGGGGTCCGCCTCGAGTGCTGGAGGTCCCGGGTTTAAGCCCCAGGGAAGGCTGGAGTTTTTTCACGTGGACTTCTAGTAATTTCCCCTTGTGTTTGGGTAGTTGTCTGTGGCTTAGGCGTTGCGAACGCGGTTCGTGATGCCGGAGTGCCGGTTTTGATCCCAGCTGCAAGCCTTGCGTCTTGCGTTGGTTTCGATAGTGGTATCGGGAAGCCAACCGTCCAGAAAGCAATGGCAAACTACTAGGTGTAAATTTGTCTAGAAAACCACAACAGCACAAAACTGCTTGGGTTGGTTCTGCAATGTCCTGTAAAGGATACGCAACTAATTCTGAGTAGTAAGATCAAACACCCGTGTTTATTGGTGCGCACTTAAAAAGAAAATCCTTTGACAATTGGAAATCGAAATCGTTAAAAATCTACCCACTACTTCTGCTACTATTACTACTACTACGGCTACCACTACTATTAGTAATACTACTGCTACTGCTGCAGCTCCTACTACTATTACTGCTGCTGCTATTATTACTTATTATTATTGCTACTAGTATCTTACTACAACTATTAGTACTGTTATTAGTGCTACTGCTGCTGCTGCTGCTGCTGCTGCTGCTGCTGCTGCTGCTGCTGCTGCTGCTGCTGCTGCTGCTGCTACTACTACTACTACTACTACTACTATTGTTGCTGCTTCTGCTGATATAAGTACTACTGCTACTACTAGTAGTACTAATATTACTACTACTGCTGCTGTTACTACTACTATCACTATTTATACTTCTACTTCTAGCACTACTACTACAACTATTATTACTACTGTTTCGTCTTCCTCTTCTGATACGGCCTCTGTCTGTTCCAGACAAAAATTCTGCTCTAATGATCATTGTCAATGGGGACAAAGAGGATCACCTAGAGATGCTAGAGGGAGGTGTCATGAGGCAACTTCTCATCGAGAAATGGAAGACATTCGCCAAGGTCTGTATATTTTGTCCCCACTCTAATACACCAGTAACTTACTACAGACTTCTTCTTCCTTCCTTTATTCTCCCAATGGAGCATAGGCCCTCTAGGTTCCATTGCACAAACATGCAGTTAAAAAACGAAAACTAAGACCACATTGCTACCGAAAGGAACGTAATTTTTTTTTAAACATATAATTATATTCTTTTCAAGTTTTCCTAACGTTTGTCCTACCCAGCGCCAACATAGGGTTTTTCAGTGTATAAGACGAACTATGTATAAGCGGCTTTTTTTTCAAAAATCCAAAATTAAGAGACAAATATTTTAAAACATTCCGTATGTAAATACTATTCCCAATTTTAAAATTCAAAAATTTGCGAAAACGTATCGTTTTATACACTGGAAAATACGGCATTATATTCAAATCTTGATTCCTAGAATTTGTGTGGTTCTCTCGTAAAAGTCTACATTAGTGATTCCATGCAATCATTTTAACACTCAACTTGCAACAATGTGTATTCAAACTTCAGAAACTGAGGGCTTTGTAACTAGGCTCCCCAATACATAGCAACTTTGAATCATGTGGCTTCGCTGAGCTAAACGCAGTAATTTTCAATTTAAAATAGGTAAAGTAATATAAAGGACCATATCGGCTTTTTAGTAAGATCAAGGTGTGGCCAAAGGGAGCAGGATTGACCAAACACCAAGTCACGGGTGAAATCCAATCGGCAACCATGTAAACAAAAACAAAACAAAAAAACTCATGACGATCGGCTGAGCTGAGTTCTGTTGATTCAAGAACCTACATCACAGTACTCTGGGCATTCCCATACGCGTTCCGTCCCCATCTTCAGCAGCCAGCGCAGAGTTCCAGTACCAATGGTGCCAGCAGCAGGCTCTGTCTTGCCTTTCCTCTCAGCGTCGAGCACCTCACGGAGCCCCTCGTCACTCCCTGCTGCATCACTCTCATCAGTTTGTGTGGTTCCATTTGCTCCTCCGAATCGTACACGCTCTCCCACACGGCGCTAACCACGTCTGCCTTATCATGCATCAATATTCCACCAAGTTGTGCAGAGCCAACATGTCTGTCCGCCTGTTAATTTCCCAACACATCAGCGTGCCCCAGAGAAAATATCCAGACAATACTCCTCACCCGTGACCACATGCCACTCTTCACAAAGCAAACATGTCCTGACCTTCCTTAGAATGCTAAGTCAGTTACAATCACAATGTGTGTGTGCGTGCGTGCGCGTGTGTGTTTATGTGTGTGTGTGTGTGTGTTCTCTAGCTAGCGAAGGGCTGCAGTGATCGCCTCCACCTCCATTTCTAAGCTGGATGTTGTGTATCATATGCTAGGCTCTCCTGCTCTAAACATCGACCTTTAACTTTTGCTAAGAAACTCCAAGCATTTCTTTTGCTCCGTGACACTGAACCATCTGTATAAATAATCACATCCTCTGAGCGAGCATTTTCTTGGAATAATTGCTGAATTTCCACCTTCGTTGTATCTGCTGGCCAGTCTCTGCACTCCCGTCTCAATAGGATTATGACCTCACAAATCTGACTGTTCCACTGGTAATTTAACCTACTCCTCTCCTCGCCTGATGCTCTTCAGGTTGCACACCTATTTGATTGTGTGTCTTCTGCCTGAGCCATCCATTACTTCCATCTCATAACTGCGTCCAGAGCAACGTGAAAAGGATGATCTGTATCTGCAGCACCTTGCCTACCTGCAACAATCTGCAAACCGAGGATGTATCGCATACACACCAAATGGGAGTGTGTCTGGTACAACCCAAAATAACGCGCATAGCTGCGTTCTGTATACGCTGTAGTTTATCCACGTGACTCTTTGAGATGGCGAGCAGTCCTAGTCCATAACCAATCACTGAAAGGATCAGGTGCTGATGTAGTGAAAAAAGCATTCTCTGCTCTGTCCATTGCAGGTCTTAAGTGCATTGAGTCCTTTTTGGCATCTTGTCACAACCATTTTCACATGGTCCTTGAAAAACAGGTTTCTGTCAAATGTTATTCCCAAATGCTTCATTTTGCTCTCTCTTTTGAAATTTCTACCATATATCATGAGAACTAGGACCTCAGCTGTCACACCACAAAAAGACACCTTTTCTGGGTGGACGACAGCCCTCATTTCCCTACACAAGTCAATCACTTTGTCTACTGTCGCCTGTAGTTCCTGTGCTGTTTGTTCCCTCTCTCCCCTGCCTATATGGGAATATTTCATCTGCAAATGTCGGTATCCTTTAAAACTCCTGGTACTTCTGCACTTGCAATCCTGCTCGTATACACGTTAAAGAGCATAGATGAAATGGTGCATCGGTGTGGCAGTCCTGGGGCTATACTGCGTGGTTCTGAGGTCCATTAACCCAGAAAGAGAGCACCCGGTAAGAATTCAGAACAACTGAAACCCAATTCACCAACGAGGGGCTGATCCCTTTCTCTGTCAGTGCGGTCATCACAATGTCATATCTTACTCTGTTATGAGCAACCTTGAGATCGAGTGCTGCCGCCATCGTTTCCTGTCTGTTATGGAACACTTCATAGATGTCAAAAGCTAAAGTGGCTGCATTTGACTACGTGTCCTTTCCTGGCATGTAGCTTCCCAGACCTCTAGGAAAAAAGCATCCCCCTTTCCCCCCTCAGCCTGGATTACCGACGTAATATCCTTCGGGTAGTCAGGCGGTCCGGCTGGGCATTTTGGAGACCGACCCGGTAAATCAAAAATAAAAAGTAAAATAAAGCACACTTTTTCCACACCTTCGGATGTATTGGACATACAGGGCTAGATTTATATTTTATAGACCAATCTGCATTTGGCAGATGATGTTTTTCTTTTCATGTCCGAGAAACTAACACGTTCCTCGATCCTCTGTTGTAATCAGATAATCAGGGTAACCGCAGCTTCAACTTCAAAGAAAACATATCACCCCGTAGCTGCTCCGATCTTGTGGCAACGAAAACTACACACAGAATGTCCATCTATTCTTTGTGGAAAAATGAACACGCGCTGCAGTCTCAGCAAGTCCAATAGCGTCGACAAGCATTAAATGCAAAAAGCAGTCGTCAGAAATGCTAACACAAGAAGTCCGACTCTAGAAATGCACAAGTAACGAGCATTACTAATGGGAAGAGACAATTTCTATTTTCAGAAGCAATTTATGCTGCGCCTCGTCTTCGCAGTGACCCACATTGTTATGTTTAGTATCTGTGTCTACACTCGACCAATGGGAAGTAGGTTGCTGGAGTACAGAGGCAGTGTAGATGCGGTAAGTATACACTTGCAGTAAAGAAAGTAAACAAGTAAAAAAAAAAAAAACGTTTCCACACTTTTAGACATAATGAGCATGTATATGTGTTCAACATCAAGGGCGAGCAAGAGGTAAACAGTGATACAAGTTGAGGAATGATATTACGATATAACAGTCTCATAGAGCATACAGCCAGGAGGTACCCAGTGCAGCCAGCCTTCTTTGTGAAAACTCCTAACTGATTGAGCTTGGTACTGTTGTTCGCCTTTTAACTAATATCCATTTATGTTGTCAGGTTATCTGGTCACTTGCCTAATATATTATATATATATATATATATATATATATATATATATATATATATATATATATATATATATATATATATATATATATATATATATAAAAACAAGATAGAGGGACACGCTAGACAACATAAAACTCGAAAGCTATAGTTACTGTGCCGAGAATTGAATCAGTCACCTCCAAACATCATGTGCACTACGAGATGAGATGCTTGAAGAAAGCTACCAAATTGAACTATTGGAGACACGAGTAAGAAACGATAGTCCCTTGACAGACAGTGTGAATAGCACTTTGCAACACATTAATTTGAGAAGCAGAAGATCTAATGGTTTGGTCACCTCGTTAAAATGCGGCCATAACAACTGTTATCACAGGCGGCACACACGATAACAGCTAACGTGAGAACAGGAGGGGGCCCAATAAAATATTGACTGATGGCATTGAAGACAGTGTACATCTACATGGCAACGACCAGTGCTATCCATCGAGCCCTGGGCCGTAATCTGTTCCTTTCCACTTCGCTTCACGGCAAGTGAAAGTTAAAGATGGTAGCTGTTTTTTGTGGTGATGTATACGGTGGTAATGGTGATGATGGCGATGATGATTTGATTATAATGTGGACGCGTGATGACGAATGCCTTGATTAAGTTTGATTTGCAAATGCGAAGAAGTCTGGCCACTGTGCATAAAAAGTCTAACTCGCTCGGAACCGGTCTCATTTTTTTAAAATTATAATGATGATCATGGTGGTTGTGAGTGGTAATGGTGATGATGATCAAATAACATTTATTAGTCTGCGAAACCATTTGAAAATCAAATAATGTTTGTTGGATCCCTTCACAGGTGCGATATACTTGTGAAATAATGGTCACCCTGAACTGTCTGGTGAAAGTGCTTTATGAAGTCACGGAGATTTTCCGGCAAGGCATCCACACGTTTATAAATATCTGTGTAAGTAATTTTGAAATTGTCGGTCTTTACCCACATAAGACTACAGGTTAAACCCTGTTTATAGCTTCTTTGGAGCTAGGCATTCAGTATTTGTCAAGTTGGTCGTCTTTGTCGTTGTCTTCTTCTTCCTCTTCTCCTTCTTCTCTGTCTTTTTCTTCATCGTCTTCTTCTTCTTCTTCTTCTTCTTCTTCTTCTTCTTCTTCTTCTTCTTCTTCTTCTTCTTCTTCTTCTTCTTCTTCTTCTTCTTCTTCTTCATCGTCTTCTTCTTCTTCTTCTTCTTCTTCTTCTTCTTCTTCTTCTTCTTCTTCTTCTTCTTCTTCTTCTTCTTCTTCTTCTTCTTCTTCTTCTTCTTCTTCTTCTTCTTCTTCTTCTTCTCCTCCTCCTCCTCCTCCTCCTTCTCCTCTGCCTCCTCCTCCTTCTCTTCCACCTCTTCTTCCTCCACCTTTTCTTTCACCACCTCCTCCTCTAGTCCTATTTTGCATCTCAGTGATATGGTTTTAAAGAGGTATCGAGCGTGAGCCTTGCTGTGTGCTACATGTGCTTTATTTCCCAGAAATTTTTTTTTTTTTTTTAAAACCAGTATTGGTACCCTTTTGTGATAAGTATCGGTCTTTCTTTTAAGAAAAGCCCTTTTTATTTCCAACATTTTATCTGCCTCCTTCACGTCCAATGACTATTGATTATTGATTTAAGAATCGACATCATAGAACACCGGACATAGCCATAGATGCTCCGTCTCCCGCAGCAAATATCTTAAGGTGCAGATGTTTACTGTTTCCGTAGCACACTGATTATACACACGTTGTTCTCTTCCTCTAATAAGTCCTCCTTTTCGGGACCAAACCTGATTCCTCGTTCTCACATTCTTACACGTGTTATTTCATGTAATCTCGTGTCTTCGGTCAATATTCGTTCATGTGTACTGTCTTCAAAATATCTCTTTGTCGAGTGTTCCAGTAGCTTTTGCTTTTGCAGGCAGGAAATCCGCTCTTTCATTCCCTCTAATGTTCCTTCCCAGATGGTATATCCACGTGATTCCCTGTAAAGTTTGCCTACTGATGCGTGGTATCTGCAATGACTCTGCTTACATTCACTTTGGCTCCAGTCGCTTGCAGACATCTCACTCGTGCACTGACAGTCAACTCAACAGGTGAAAAATGGACGACATTGAACGATACGATGCGTTGTCACTCTTTATTCTCCACTCGCTGTTTCTTCAGCCCGTACACGGTGAGGTAACATACGTCTACTCACGTCTTATTAGATCAATTTACAAGGATCAACTTTACCTTCAGACGGAAAATACAGAAGTCCTTTACACAACAGAAATTGAACAATAACGTCCATTCTCCATGACAGACAAACATACAAGATCAGCTCTGGCTGACTGCTTCGTCAGTTCTTGCTGATGGCCAGGTTGGGCGTTAGAACTTCACAGACACATCAAATGCATACTTGATACAAATAGTTCTCCTCTCATCATGCATACAGTATCTTGGCCCAAACGTGACTGCCCACTCGCTCTTTCTAAGGCCTTATATAATCTTCACTTACCCACATTAGAATTACGCCCACATCCGACTTTCTCCTGTTTTCCCATTCTCACGGGTTTCATTTGGTCAACATTTTGTTCCGTGCATCTCGGCTTCGTACTCGTTAAATTCAACTATCTCATTCATATTCATTACCTGATGTCATTCCTACTGTAACATAATTTATCAGGGAGAAAATGGTTCACTGCAGTATCCATTGATGCCACATTAATCCATTTTGAACCTTCGGCAGTACCGACTGGGAATCAGTTACAATAATTTGCTTTGTTTTCTGCTATCCAATTCAGAGCTGAAGTGATTAGTTTCATTGTACCAAATTAAAGGGAGCGTGGACATGGATAAGATTAGACTTGCACAAATACAATGGAACTAAACCCCAAAAATTACGCTGATTAAGCGAAGGAAACAAATGAACTGGACATTTAAAAAATGTTTACCCTGACTCTTTTAAAGAAGAGATACTAAACTAAATAATAAGTATAACTAGTCGAATTCATATTTTCACAATTACAAACTACAAGTGAACTAGGCGGATAGAAAGCCTTCATATGCGCATAATATGAATAGTCAATGTTACAATGAGAGATACACATAAATCACTTGAGGTATCTCCTATGGATATCCACATATGTGTCTTGCCAGTTAAAAGGCTGACGTACGTCTGAATACAGGAAAAAAATACTAACAAGTAAACAAAAAAACTGCGAAAGGCAAGGGTATACTTCTGTTTGCGTTAGCAATGTTTACATTTACTAAAAGAAAAAAGAATGTTTTGAATTTATTTCACATCCTTCCTTCTTTGAACAGTCACACGCTCCAGCCCAGACGGTGTACCTCATCTCATGCCTGTTGTTGCTGGCGTGTCTACCATTACGACTGAGTCGTCTCCACGCTGTGGAAGACATCCTGGTGATCCTGGCTGCCCCCTGTGTCTGGTCTTCTCTACTGTTCTTTGCCAGGTAATGAGCTCTGTGGATCCCAAGAAAAGCAAGACCTGTTAATGTCTCTTATCTTTTAATCTCAACCATAGCGTAAAATGCTCCTTGGCATTTTACATTTGATCAGAGTACAGTGAAAATATGGCTTCCCCTATATCCACTTTCACAGTTTATTCAGCCTTTTTTGTGATAACATTCACTCATCATTTTTCATAGTAGCTGTACCACCCTCACGCTATGACTATTTGCTGTGAAACCAGCTGGTACTGACAGATTTAAGTAAACCAGGGACACCTAACCAGTTAGTGAAAAACGGTGAAATCGGAAAAGATGCGTAGGGAGACCGAGAGAACGAACGAAAGACAGTGTCTATTTTCGAATGGTGACAAACTGGGCGCGCAGGCCCGTCTTACATTCAGCCCTTCCAATCACTCATCTTTCATACGAAAGAGAACAGATGAGAGCCTGATGTGGAAGATTATCTGTCATAAATGATTGAAAGTACACCAGGCACAAGGCCGTCAATACAGACATGTATACCTACGCCATAAGGCTTATCCTTTAAGAAGAAGAATGCTTTTGTGACTAATAAAATTTCGTTTTTTTTTTTTTTTCCTTGTAAAACAATGCAGACCTCATAAGGAGAGCTCAGAGGGGACCCAAGAAATTATTCTTCTTATCAGAAATTCCTCTTATTCCGACAAAAGTTGAAGCAAAAAAGTTGCTGGAGATAAACATATTGTTCTTCACAACAGAAATTCACCTCCTCCGAGATCGCCTTAAGCGGTCTGCTTTGTGTTATTTTGTGAGGCCCTAGTCTCTTCCACAGTGTGACTATCGTTCCACAGTCCTTCTTTTTTAAGAAGCCCACCGTGGAAATAGAAGCCTGATAAGTTTAGAATTTTGAAATCCTTTACTTAACCTCCAAACACAGAACTGCGGTTATTACTTAGCTTACTCTGATTCATAATTATATAATTTTAACTCGTCAGTATTTAAAAAATGACATGTATAGAAATGCTACGAGAAAAAACAAGACGAGACAGGGTTATCAACGATGAGTTCAGCAGCATGGTAAGGCACAATACTAGTATATTTTTCTTCTTTGCGTTCACTAGGTGTACACTCTAGCGGAAAGTTCTGGTTGCTCGTCGACTACTGAACTGCAGTCCTGCTCCAGAACCTGAGTGTTGCGTGTGCATCCGTTTTACAAATCGCATTCTCTTGAAAACAGACTGTTGGTTCCTTGCCTCTCCGGTAGATGCACTCCGACTTCAAAGGAAGCTCCCCAATTAGTCGACTCCTACGACATGCTTTTGGGGAGGCAGTGGGTCTATTCTTGTTTTCCCCACAATGGGGCCCCGGAACCCACACGGGGGAGTACTAGTATATGATTTCATAGAACATGAAAGAATCAAACGGTTGAGACATCCGATCAGAATGGAATCAAATCAGCCAGTAGCTTGAACGTACTACTGCACACGATAACAGCAGGCTACAAGTCAAGATGCCAGTCAAAGAAAGAGTGGAGGGAGAGAAAATAACACTACAGAAGCGACAATACGATATTAACACCAGCTTTGCAACTAGCACAAGACGGGGAATTACATATAATTCTTGTCTGCGACGTTTTACGACTTATGCAGCAGGACAGAAGAAGAACAAGAACATTTCTAGACTGAGAGTTTAAAGTTCACACACTGTGGTAACAAACTTTTATGTTGAATTATCAAAAATAAATTGTTACTGTACATACAGCGAAATATGCCAGGCAATAAATTGTGCAGTCTATTGTTTGTATCTTCTTTGTTCAAATTTACATCGGGGAAACACTGCTTTAAAAATAAAAAGGTTAAAGTCGACAGGATCGACTTCCTTGCACAGGGTTTTGCTCCCATATGGCTCGGTCTCTCTCCGCAGAACAACTGGCCCCCCAACTGAGAGCGCCGCACAAAGCACGAGCTCTGTAGATCCGGCGACGATCCCCATAGATCTCCGTCAAAATTGCACTCGTGAATTAGTAAGTTAGTTATTTGGGTTGTCATCGTTGCACTCCGAACATGTCCATAGGTGCTCAGATCCTCCCCTCAGTATGAACCCCAACGTCCGATGCCTTATAGTACCAGTTCTATGTTGATTAACAAGTCTTCTGGCGTGTCTGGTGTTCGTCTAGCTTTTTTGCTATGCCGATCTTAATTCCCAAGTATGTCATTCTGGCGAGTGATGTGGATTCACTGCCACCAAAGTCCTCTATCCTTCCCATTTCTCTGGGGGCATTATTTTTATCAGCATGATCCATTGGCTGACCGTTGGTAGTAATAGCGGATCCAGCCAACCTGTCAGCTCTTTCATTTCCATCGACGCCTGCATTTCCTGAAACCCAAAAAAAAAGGTGACTCCGCGCACAGTGGACTTCTGTAATGATTCAAGCCATTGTCTTCGCACTGAACCTGCCTGACCCCTCAGGATCATACTCATTGAATTGCACTCGTGAAGTGAATGGCGAAGCCATGAAACGGACCCACAACCTTTGGAGTGCGAGAAAAACGGCTTGACCACTTCGCCACGAAGCTCCCTCGTGAAGCAAAACCTAAATAGAACTGACAAGAGTATTAAACAGTCAAAAAGTCAACCATCATTATAGCATTAGTAAATAGTAACGAGCCCTTACAGTATATATATGGTGCTGGATTCGCATTGCTATAGACCAGTAGTCGGCAAAATCATAAATAAAAAAAAAGCCAAAATTCACCAGCAGGACAATAAAGAGAGCCAACAAATTTCTTTTTAAGAACCTGTCGAGAACCATGTTTTCCGGAGTCAAAGTTGATTTGTGGCCACACTCAGGTCGCTAAGGAGCCGCATGTGGTTCCAGAGCCGCGACTGGGCGACCACTGCTATAAACCAATCAAAAGTCGATGATGATTTAATCAACATCATTACCGCAGTGGCTATTTCCCGAGACACTTCTATGTACCCTTTTAGGATTCGTCGTCATTGGAACCAATGTCATTATATTTTTATTTATTTATTTATTTTACATTTCTGATTTTTTTTTTTTTTTTTTTACGGAACAAATCTGATATCATCATCATCTTGTACGGTTATACACCAAAGTGTTTCAAGATCCTCGCCGGTGCTACAGAGCCTGTGCACTGTGCTGAGCTTCTTCGGACTCAGACTGGAGTTAGAAGAACAGAGCACTTATGGGTTACTAGCTGTGTGTCATGATGATCCGTTGTTCAAAACCTCAAAACCATCTATTACATTATCTTGAGCAGTTGTTTTTTGCACCGTGCTTGGAAAAGGGGAGAGGGGGAGTCTACTTCCTTATAATTGATATATCTGTCAAACATTCTTCGTAGAGTTTCCCTTTAAAATGAACAAATGAAAATATTATATGGTTGAAATAAATATACCGTTAGAAAGATTATATCATTGAAATGAATATATCATTAGAGACATCACATCATTGAAATAAATATACTGTTGAAAAGATTATATTACTGAAATAAACATACCGTTAACATAAGTTCACCACTAAATAAATATGCCACTGAGTGAATATAAAATTAAAATTACTGAAATAACTATACCGTTATTTAGATAAATATATCATTGAAATGAATATACCATTAAAATAAATGTATCATTGAAATAAATATGCTACTGCTACGAAAGTACCGTTATCTTTATTTTTGAATCTTTCCAGAGGCTATTCACTGACAGGTCCTTTCGTCACGATGATTTACAAGATGATAGTTGGAGATCTGTTTCGGTTTGGCATCATCTACGTTATATTTCTTGCTGCCTTTACCCAAGGTAAATCATAAGTATACGGTATTTAGAGCAGTGGCTCTCTACCTTCCTAATTCTGCGACCCTTTAATACAGTTCCCTCTTGTTGTGGTGACCCCCAAATAATTATTTTCCCTCATAACTTGAATGAATATGTTTTCCGATGGCCTTAGGCGAACCCTGTGAAAGGGTCGCTCGACCCCAAAAAAGGGTCGCGACAGCCAGGTTGAGAACCGCTGACTTTGAGATTAAACCAATGTTGTTTACACAGATGGGTCTGTTGGTGGACCCGTGACACTCTCTTGGACCCTTAAAGATCACGTTGGATTAACTGTAAAGGAAAATTCGGTGCTCTTCCCCTGACCACAAGTATTTTGACTATGTAAGTCATGGCAGTAAATCAAGCCAAAGCACTGAGCAGGAACTTGACCTACTGACCGGATCGTATGAGGAATCAGGGGCTAGAGAAAACCCAGCAAGTCTACAGCTTATTCATTCTCACTAAACAACACAATTATCAAGAGCCCACGTCTGTTGTTAGTGAGTATTGAAATTCTGTCAAGAGGTTTAGACCTTAAAAAACTTGGTATCGACTTTTATAGATGTCATTTCTTCCAATATCATGTCGATGGTGACACTTTAAAGGTTAATAGATGCCTGGCGGCTGTTAGGGTGTCGCAGAAGCTACGATGAATAAAAGGTCATTGCTGATGTTTTATCACGGTTTGGTGACTTGTTTCAGAATCAGTTGTACACACATGTGGTAACTGTAACTTGACTCCGAGAGTATGTTGAGAAAGGTGGAGACTGGCATGCTCCGTACATAGGGATAAGCATCACTTCAGCGGTCCCGGGTAGTTAGCGTCTTTGGATATTTTCTCCAGGGATTACGGTGTGTTCGGAAACCATTAGGAAGATGGACTGGCCGGTTCTGCACCACTTGGTGGTGAATTATGTATGACTAGCTAGATGTTGTGAGGGCTCTTTTGGAGCGAGTGAACAGTGAGGAGGCAGAAAAAAAAAATCATTATGATCTGAGGAGAAAGGCGCTGCGAGAAGTTACAGAGGATGGCCGACGCTCATCAAAAAGAGAAAGGCCAGACAGAAAAGCAGTTACTGGTGCCATTTGAATTAGAACTTTTCGCTTGCTGCTGAAGATGGGGACACAGTGCTAATGGACGTGTCCCTAGTTCTGGGATGTTGATTCTTAATTCAACATTCAACATTTAGGTTTTCGGGCTTCCAGTAATAGACTGTAGACTAAGCCTCCTTACAGTCAGCAGACATCTGCTATGAAGACTAGAAAAAGTGCAAACTGAAGTAGTGAGACTGATTCTTTGATACACCCCATGTCACACTATGATATACTTTATTGACTTGCCAGACATAAAACACCCTCTGCACAGCTGCCTAGGGGTGAACAAAGGTGAGTGCCTAAAGAAGGGTGTCCTGGAAGGACACTACTAGTCATCTTTCTCCATCGGAACAACAATTACAAGAGCACGCTAGGATTATATTCACCCCGGGGCAATTTGTGCCGAACAGAGCCAAACAGAACTGATGCTGATATAAGACCTTCATGGAAGAGCACACTCGATCAGGTCATGTGGTCATCTTAATAGGTAGCTCAGTGATTTGTGGGATTTTATTCATCGTCATCCACAAGTGGGACGCCATTTTTCGTTATTTTAAAGCCCCACCCCGGCTTTTGCCTGGTACCGAAATATACCCTAACGGTTGAACGCGGTTTCCGGAACCTCTCCACGGATGATCCTCATCTGCATGGTGGCACTTTGTGTCACCATGTGTTTATCGCTCTCTGTAATTTCCTGGTGGGGTATAATTTACTTACTAAGTTGTGGGGTGCGTTCTGTTTGAGCACACACAAGGCATGTGAATTGGAAGACAGTTTTGCTTTAAAAAATGAAGTCGGACATTCAGTTAAACTACGTCTTGCAAGAAGATGATAATAGCAGTTTTCACAGGGGAACTTGCATGACTGGCAGAACAGAAAGCAGCGTAGGCATTGATAGTGACGGACTCAGTAAGCATGCTTAAAAAGATCCGAACCGGCAAACTCCACGTAGAAATAGTTGACAGCATCTATAAGTCCGACCTCAAGAAACTGTCTTGGCTGTATATACCGGGAGATGCTGGTGTGAAGTGAAATGAAAGAGCTGACTGACTGGCCGTTCTGCGGTGATTGTTGGAGGAAAAATATATGGCCGGGGTAGAAGTAATGCTTGCGCTGCATTTCAGACAAACTTAGACAGAGGAGTCAGACACGATGAAACTGACTGTTGGAAATGGGTATTGAACAAAGACAAGCATAAAAAAAACTGTTTGGGAATAAATAAAGAAGATATACCAGTTATCTCCTTCGGGTAAAGTATGGATGGAGACATTAAGATGGCTGCTGCATCTTTGCGCGGAGCCCTAACTGGTCGGACCGATGTGCACGGATTTTTAAACAGGGAAACAAAAGTAACTAGTTACCAGAAACAGACCTTCATTAAAGCACACATTCGTAACCTATTGGAAATATTCAGGAAGACATGAATGAGTTGTAACGGAAGACAGTGGTTTATGTCTCTGAAACCGTCACAGCTGACAAATACGAGTTTCATTTTCGTGACATTCAGATGCACAAGACAATGAACAAGCTGATAGGTGTGCAGCAGCTTATGCTAAATTAGAGAGCGGACGGGCAATGGCGACTCTGTAGCGATATCTAGACTGCAGAAATACGCCATGACAGAGTGCAAAAACGGGAAGTGAAAGGGGTGGGGCCAGACAGCAAAATGCAGGAAGACATAGAACAAGAACAGATCAACACAGAACTGGTTTCGTCAGCCGCTACACGCTGCGGAATTACTGATAGGATCCAAACATAAATAAACTAATCGGTTTGATATGCAGTGCTGATGACTTTCAGTAAACTAACGGATTTTCTAATTCATATAATTCGTTAACGTTTCCCACGAGGTTGGTACATTGAAGGGAGCCGGGTGGCTTTCCGGTGTGCAGTGATGAGAGCAACGTTCCCCAAAATATTGGCCTTATGATGATGAAGATTACATCCTTAACTGTATCAGTCACATGTAAACGATTTCCCCGAAAAAAGACGTATCCCCAAAATAATTCATAGTACGATTTGTCAAGGTATTTTTTATATAAGCCCTACCTCAAAAATAAGTCGAGTTTACAATGAGAGACTCGTTGCCGAGTGGTCAGTCGGAGTACAGATGCCGCTCGTGCGCACTTGATAGTGAACGGATTCAGGCCGGAATTCGGGGTTTATAGAGTTATGACGACGATCTAGAAGATAATGATCGGACTGTTTCTGTGTGAATGTAGATTCTTATATCTAACACAACGGTAAAATAAACAAGACGTCCCATAAAAAAGCCCTATTTTAGTAAAACGCCATCAGATAACTTTGCGTCTTTATGTTGTGGTTGTTGTTGCTGTTGTTGTTGTTGTTGTTAACACTAGATTTATCTCTTTAGATGGGTAATGCTTTAATTAATTCATCTTTCCAGTTTTCTTCTTCCTGTTTCACGATGTTAAAGTTGAAGAGAATACGGATTTGGACAAATTTTCCACTTTTCCAGAAGCTATTCTGAAAATTTACCAGATGTCTTTTGGGGAGTTCAAGGTAAGGTAATACAGTGATTTCCTCTAATATGTCCCGGGTAGTTAGCATCCTTTGCATATTTTCTCCAGTTTATGCCAGTGTGTTGGGAAATGAGCAGACAGATAGACTGGCCGGTTGTAATCACTTGGTGGTGAACTGATATATGACGAGCTGGGTGTGATTAGGGCCTTTTTGGGAGCGAGTGAACAGTGTCGAGGCACAGATAGATTATTACGGTCTGAGAAGAATGGCACTGCGAGGAGTTGCAAGGGGATCTGGCAGACGCTCGACACCCAAGAAAAAACGAGATGGATATACAATCAGACAGTTACTGGTACTATCGGATTCGGAATGTTAACTCTTCGCTTGCTGCTGAAGATGGGGATGGAGCGCTTATGGGGGTGTCCCGAGTGCTGTGATGTCGATTCTTAATTTAACATTTACCACTAATATGGATACAGGGCGGTTCTTGCAGCCAGTCTTGGTATCTATGTTATGAGGTCGATGAACTAGTGATTGATGATTACCGAGGTTTATCATAGCAGCACCCCGGACAGATCCATTGGAAGTCTGATCTTCTCCTTGTACTGGACCGTGGAGATATTGTGAAGACGTATGTTAACGAATACTGATAGAAGACACGATGTTAAATGAAATAACATTTGAAAAAATGTGGAAACAAAGAATTAGAAGCAGATCCAGCAAGAGTGAAGGTATGGGAGGAAGAGAAAGACGTGTTTATTTAGGTTGCTAGGAGAACAGCTGGCATCCACACCCTAAGACGTTTGCTGTGGGAAAAGGAGCGTCTACTAGTATGCCCGGTGTGCTCTGATGTCGATTCTTAAATCAGTAATTGGTAATCTCCTCCTCAAAAGCTCCATCAAAGTAAAACAGTTTCTGACGCCTGTTCTGTGTTGATTAATTAAACATCTTGTCCCCTTGGTTCAATATGCATCGTGTATCACTTCCCGTCCTTTTTAGGACGAAATTGTTCGTTATTTAAAGCCTTACTATGGCTCTTGCCAGGGGCCGCAATATAGCTTGGCCATAAATATGGCCTAAAGGCTGAACGCGGTTTCTGGGACATCTCCACGGTGATCCTCACCCACATGGTGGCACATTGTGTCATCGGGTGTTTATCGCTTGTCTGATGTCCTGGTGGGGTAGAAAGTCAGTCAGTCAGTATGCATTGTGTCCCCGTGGTGAAATGTTCGTCTTCTGCAGCTCCAAGGTGCACCCCCATTTCCATCAGCCTAGACATGCAAAAGGAGTATATCTGCCTGCGAAGTGAGGAACTAACAAACTGCATTCGAATAAGCCAGCTCTGAAAAATGAATACACACGCACACCTTATGTTCTGGAACAAGATCAAAGCGCAGAAGTGGACAAGTAACCAGAACTCTATGCAGGAATTTACAGCCAACGAAATCTAACTAGCAACAGTGGACATGAGAACGTCACCAGTCACTTTAAGGTCTGTTTATACAAAAATAAATCTAGTACAGAGGACGTCTTACCAAGCCAGCAATAGGATGACGGCTTGGATATCTCATATGGAGGCATGAAAGAAGACACCATTCAGAGAACACTGCGAATGCCAGAGCGAAATCGAGACAACAACTAAGTACCTTCTCGTACTTGCAGTCGTGGAAACTACTGACATATTACACGATGGAACAAACCACATGACTAACTTCAACATAGCGACCACAATAGCAGATGCATTATGAAAAGGTAGCAGAGGAAAGCTAAATATTGCAGAGACCATAGGATCTCACAACTTGACGAGCACCAAACTAACCAAACAGCACTAAAATGACGGCCCTACAAACAGCATACAGAAACCGGGCTCGATATACATGTCAGGCTAGAACTACTAACACTAAAAAACACACAATGAAACAACAGTATGAAGAAAAACCATAATTATCTAATGCTATCTAGGAGCGGTTAGCTGCCTTGGTAACGGCTGAGCGGCCAATTCAAATTGACAATGATGATGAAATGTCATATGCCCCAACTGTGGGAACATTGTCTTTCAGTTTACTTACATACCACATGTTCGTATCTCTTCACAGTACGATGTGTTTAACCTGTCCCATTACGCACCTTTGACAAAGATCATTTTCGGCTTATTCTTGATTTTGGTGCCGATTCTACTCCTGAACATGTTGATTGCAATGATGGGCAACACACATCTCAAAATTATCTCTAAATCCACCAAAGAGTGGTGGAAACAGGTATGTTGAGTTAGATATTTTGTTTACGGACCACAGAACCTCCAGAAACAATTTTCTTCCATAGACTTAAAGTTAACTGCGTATCCTTTACAGGATATCACAGAACCAACCTCAGCATTTGTTGGCTGTTGTGGTTTGCCATTGCTTCTTTTGTAGACTACCTGTGCCAAAAAAAAAACTTTAAACATTCAAATGTCCACACACACGCACGCACACGCATGCACGCACACCCATATATACCCACACATACACGCACTGCTCCTAATTAAACTGTATACGAAGTTATAAAAAGCCAGTAGTGTTACTTACAAATGAATTCCAATCGTGCAACACTCGGCTATTCCAGTGACGATAAAAACAAATTATAAAAACAAACTATTCCAGCTTCAAGTTACCTTTTGAAAGCCACCGTGGTGTTGCGGCTAGACGCTTCCTGCGGATCTGAAGGTCGTGGGTTCAGGTTCATTCTGGTGTTTTTGTTTTTTTGTTTTTTTTCAAATGAACTTGGTTCCCAGCTGCCAGAACGATGCTGACCAAACTACCCGTTTATTCCCCCACTGGAGCATAGGCCATCGACCAACTCACGCCGTCTTTCAAGCCTACACTAGTGCATGCAGCTCTTCCCATGTCTTCCCCATTTTTAACTTCATACTCTTAATTCCTTCTGCATGTTTGTGTGTGTGTGTGTGTGTGTGTATGTGGGGTGGGGGGAGTTTAGTGGGATTCTTGGAGAGGTGGGGGGGGGGGAGATCTTTTATTTCTAATCCCCTGGGGGTTCCAGTCTGCAGTCAATGCCCAAACTAAATCAGAATTGTCAAAAGAACAAACAGTAAGTCTCTAAGAAGGCTGGCCTGGTTGTCTTAGTCATGATATCATTGTCTATTCCAGTTCAGGTACTTGCAGGTGTAGGAGGAGAAAAAGAAGTAGGGGACTAGACCGCAGGGCCAGACTATTGACTATGCGAAGAATTAAATGTAGAATTAGGAGAAGTAGAAGAAAGCAGAGAAGGAGCAGATGAGAAGTTGAAGACAGAATGGAGTAGATTAGGCAGAAGAAAGGAGAGAAGGAGAAGGAAGAGGCGAATATTTACATACACATAATTTTTCAGTTCCACATCTTCATCGACGTTTTTGTTACTCGTTTTTTAAAGAAGTGTTTCGTATTTTCCTTTTATTTCATATAAAGTGGGCCAAGATTGTGGTTGTTCTCGAGAGTGGTATTTCAAAGAAGAAGTTGCTACAGTATCAGAAAGCCTACTCTGTGACACTGGCGGGTGCCCCTCCTTCTGAAGGAGATAGCGCAGCTTCATCAGAGCAGAGGGCTCTGGTTGTCATCAGTCTGTGTTCAAAGTCCAAGGCCAAGAAACGCAAGGAGGCCGTGTTTAGATGGAAGGTTTGTGTATATAGGCAATAGAGACATAAAGTAGACCATAGGAAAACCCCAACACGGGTAAAAAGGAATCATGCCAGGTCGTTGAGGAATGCACATGTGAAAGTGAAGTAAAAAATAATACAATGGAACTCCAATATCCATGGAAGTAATATTCGTCCTCTTAATATTCGTATTTTTTAATATTCGTCTTTTTTAATAATCGTCCCTTTAAATATTCATTCTTTTTAATGTTTGTCTTTTTAATATTCTTTTTTTTTTTAAATGTTCTTCTTTTTAATATTCGTCTTTTTAATATTCGGTTTTTTTTTTAATTCGTCTTTTCAAAATTCGTCTTTTTAAATTCGTCTTTTTTAATGTTCGTCTTTTTTAATATTTGTCCTTTTTAATATTCGTCCTTTTAAATATTCGTCCTTTTTGTATTTTCCTTTTAATATTCGTCGTTATTAATATTCATCCTTTTTAATTAGCCTTCTTTTTTTGTGGGGGTATTCTTCCTTTTTAATGTTCGTCTTTTTTAGTTTTCGTCCTTTTTAATATTAGTCCTTTTTAATATTAGTCCTATTTGGTATCTGTTCTTTTTGTTATTCGTCTTTTTTAATATTCGTGCTTTTCAATATTCGTCCTTTTAAATATTTGTCATTTTTAATATTCGTCCTTTTTAATATTAGTTCTTTTTAATATTTGTCTTTTTTAATATTTGTCTTTTTTAATATTTGTCCTTTTTTAATATTCGTCTTTTTTAATATTTTTTTTTTTTAATATTTGTCCTTTTTTAATATTCGTCTTTTTTAATATTCGTTTTTTTTTTTCATGTTCGTCCTTTTTAATATTTGTTCTTTTTAATATTCGTCTTTTTTAATATTTGTCCTTTTTTTATATTCGTTTTTTTTAATATTCGTTTTTTTCCATGTTCGCCCCTTTTAATATTCGTCCTTTTTAAATATTCGTCCTCTTAATATACGTCCTTTTTTTAATATTTGTACTTTTTAATATTTTTCTTTTTAAAAATTCGTCTTTTTTTAAATATTTGTCCTTTTTAATATCAATCCTTTTTAATATTCTTATTTTTTGGTATTCGTCTTTTTTAATATTCGTTTTTTTTAAATATTCGTCGTTTGTAATATTCGTCCTCTTAATATTCGTCTTTATTTAATATTTGTCTTTTTTAATATTTGTCTTTTTTAATATTCGTCTTTTTTAATATTTGTCTTTTTTTAATATTTGTCTTTTTTAATATTCGTCCTCCTAATATTCATCATTTTTTTATTCGTCCTTTTGAATATTCGCCCTTTTTAATATTCGTTCTTTTTAATATTAGTCCTTTTTAGTGGTCGTCCTTTTTTGGTATTCGTCCTTTTTGGTATTCGTCCTTTTTTATATTTCTCCTTTTAAATATTCGTCCTTTCTAATATTCGTCCTTTTTAATAATTGTCTTTTTAATATTCATCCTTTTTAATATTCGTCTTTTTTAATATTCGTTCATTTTAATATTCGTCCTTTTAATATTCTTCTTTTTCAATAATTTTCCTTTTTAACATTCGTCCTTCTCAATATTCTTCCTTTTTAATATTAGTACTTTTAAATTCGTTGTTTTCAAAATTCTTACTTTTAATTTTCTTTCTTTTTAATTTTAAAATTTATCCTTCATAATATTCGCGATTTTTAATATTTTTTAATCCCTTTTTGTTCAATGTTCTTCCATTTTACTATTCGTCCTTTTCAATATTTTTCTCTTTTAATATTATTCTTTTTTTATATTTGTACTTTTTTTTTATTCGTCGTTTTCAATATTCTTACTTTTTAACATTCGTCCTTTTTCAATATTCTTACTTTTTAATATTAGTCCTTTTTAAATTCGTCGTTTGCAGTATTTTTAATTTTTAATTTCCTTTCTTTTTAATTTTAATATTTATCTTTTTTTAATATTCGTGCTTTTCAATATACTTTATTTTTAAATCCTTTTTTTTTTTTTTTTTTATATTCCTCCTATTGAACATTCGTCTTTTTCAATACTCTTCTTTATTTAAATTTGCTCTTTTTTAATATTTGTCCATTTGTTTTTAATTCGTCCTTTGCAATATTCTTACTTTTTTATTTTTATTTTTTTTTATTTTAGTATTCGTCCTCTTTAATATTCGTCGTCTTTAATATTCGTCCTCTTTAATATTCGTCCTCTTTAATATTCGTCCTTTTTAATATTCGTCCTCTGCAATGTTTATTCTCCTCTCAGGAATGGAATTATAAAGGAATATTGGAGTTTCACTGTATAAGGAAATCAACAGGTACTGCTCGTACAGATTAATAGGCACTCAATGACTAGCGCTGTCAGTATCACGTCGGCCATTTCTACTTTCAGTAATATCTCCAGCCCAAAGTGGAATCGTTCCCTAGACATTCGGGCCACCAGTCTAGCTTCTAGCCATGTGCTGCAAAGGTCCCCTTAACAATAAATGGCTGGGTTCAAATCGTTACCACTTTGAGCACCTCGTTGTACTGTAAAAGACCAAAGTAGCTTGTACTCATCTTTCGTTATATAGTTGTTTGTTGTTCAACCAAACCAGGACTGTATAACGAGCGACCAACAAAATGCCACCATTCATGTATAGTTGTTTGTTGTTCAACCAAACCAGGACTGTATAACGAGCGACCAAGACACCATTCGGATGAGAATCACCCGGGCACAAGTCCCCGAAACCCGTTTCAACCGTTAAACTAAATTAGGGCCCCCGACTACAGCGGGGTGGGGCAATAAAATTACACATTGCATCCAACATTGGGGCGTAATTATATTCAAAATAATACTGGATGTATGGATAAGTTTGGTACAAGTTAGTTGCGTGTGTGTGTTTTTTTTTTTTTTTACAGGAATCTGCAAAGCCAAATTCAGCATTTGTTGCTTTTTGGTTTTACTAGGCAATTTTAGATTTAGTGATTTGCCATTGCTTACTAAACGGTCGGCTCAAGATACCACTGTCCAAATCAACGCAGATCGGCTCTGCTACCAAATCAGCAGCAGGGTTCTAATTGACTGACTGGCTGACTGACTTTCTACCCCACCAGGACATCACACAAGCTATAAACACCTGATGATACAATGTGCCACCATGTGGGTGAGGTCTTATAAACCGCGTTCGGCCTTTAGGCCATATTTATGGCCTGGCTATATTTCGGCCACTGGCAAAAGTAATTCACTGTAAACACATACTGCAGCAGGGATCCAACTCAGTCCCATGAAATTAAAAGTGCGTTCACACCTAAGCTAGTTTTGGAGTATATACATGTTATTTTAAATTTCAGGCTGCATATATTTTCATAATACAGTCCAATCCTCCTCCCCCCCCCCCCCCCCCCTTTCCCCCCATTAAGTAATTTACTGATTGGCATTCATGTATGAAGATGAAGGGAGTAACGACAAGATGTAATCCCGCAATTTAACTTCTTTTTCTTCTTCTCTTCCACCTTGTACCTCAGTGAAGAGTCGGGGGGAGATGTAATGTTCGTTGATGAGCTCTGTCAAGAGCGCTATTAAGACTGATGTTCATAGAAATTTAACTGCGTATCTTTTAATCGGTTTTCAGGCATTGTCAAGGGAGATAATATATCAGTTACATCACAGCAACTTGCAGAGGCAGCAATTTGTTCTGAAAGAGTCGCTGAGAAAAGGTCGGCTTCTTGACGAGGAAAACCACACAATGCTGACTAGTACAGTAACGGAACTTGCTTGGGTTAAAGACATTGATCTGACAAAAGGTCACTCATTCGTGACAGACAAAGACAGTGTCCACTCCTACTCACCTTGTGACTTGTCTCCTAGCTTCCTTCGCTCGCCTGCGCATGCAGTTAATGGTTCACCAATAAAAACATACATTGCCACACACCTTGAGGATTCGAACCCACACGAGGTAACGGGAAAAGCTCCCTCAACTCCAAAGAAAAGAAGACGAAGGATTGTACACAACAAAGTATACCCATTAATTACAACGGAAAAAGAAGTTGTAATGAATGCATCAGATACGCTACAGAGTTTTGTTCTAGACGATTCTGAATCTGACGTTTGGGATCGCATTTCCTTTGATGATCAGCTCAGTGAAGAAGAAAAGATGCAGATCACAAATAAGGATAGCTCACAACCTCAAGGTTCTGTAGCTGACGACCGAGTTTAAGAAGTTTTCGAAATAGACAATGTTACCTAATCAGTATTATCATTGTTACTAAGAAGCAAGACTGTGTTGCTTGTAATAGGCAGTAAATCTGTTTTAACTACATTGCTCACAGTGTGGGTTCCGGGGCCCAGTTGTGGGGAAAACAAGAATAGACCCACTGACTACCCAAAAGCATCTCGTAAGAAGCAAGACTGTGTTGCGTGTGAGAGGCAGTAAATCTGTTTTAACTAAAATGCTCACAGTGTGGGTTCCGTGGCCCGATTGTGGGGAAAACAAGAATAGACCTTCTTTTAAACCTACCTGTAAGAGGTAGAACTTTCTTTTAAACCAACCTGTTAGAGCTAGCGCATTCTTTTGAACCTACCTGTAAGAGCTAGCGCGATCTTAAAAAAAATAAAGTACTGCCTCATTTTTTTTTTTTTCACTGTCATGGTTAAAAAAAAAAAAAATCTGCTGCTTGTATGGTAGGTTTTAATATGTTTAAACAAAAAAACTACTGCGGCCTAAGAGGTGAGGAAACAGTCTGCATACACGTGAGCCAGATTCATAAGATGAATGTGGACACAAAACTCTCATTTCAGAAACAAGACCAAAGTCCACAAGTAAACAAAAAGACCACAACGTTCCGCCGGAGTTTACAGCCGATGAAGGCGAAGAAAAAAGACTAAGTGATGGTGATAAAGTTTATGATAAAGATGACACTTCCAACGATAAATACTGTCTCAAACAGGAGACAGCTTTGAACAATAATATGGTAATATTACTGCTTGATCAGTGACTTTTCTCTTGTTTATTAGCCAAAAAAGGACCTTTTTCCAAACCTTAAAGCACGCTGGGCTTATAGGGCTAGCCCTATATTTTATTCACTAGTCGGCACTGGGTGGGTGATGTATGCGATCAACATCACGCCGGCCGCCTTTACTTCCTACGACTTTATCTGGTACCCACTAAAGGCTGGGAGTCAAGGTCATTTTTGAACACAAAAATGTTCAGCTCTTTTAGGACTTGAACCCACGACTTTCTAATCCACAGACGTGCGTCTAGCTACTACACCACGTCGGCTCCCTACTGAGTTAATCATTGTACAGACAAAAATTGCTATTTTGTCACTAATCGGTTGTTTAAGATTTGGTTTCATCACCTGTTATTGTGTTTATTCACCTATGTCTTGTTAATGTTATGATATTTATTCACCTATGTATTGTTAATGCTATGATATTTATTCACCTATGTATTGTTAATGTTATGATATTTATTCACCTATGTCTTGTTAATGTTATGATATTTATTCACCTATGCATTGTTAATGTTATGATATTTATTCACCTATGTATTGTTAATGTTATGATATTTATTCACCTATGTATTGTTAATGTTATGATATTTATTCATCTACGTATTGTTAATGTTATGATATTTATTCACCTATGTATTGTTAATGTTATGATATTTATTCACCTATGTATTGTTAATGTTATGATATTTATTCACCTGTGTTTTGTTAATGTTATGATATTTATTCACCTGTGTTTTGTTAATGTTATGATATTTATTCACCTGTGTTTTGTTAATGTTATGATATTTATTCACATGTGTATTGATCAAGGTATGTTGTTTTGTTTATTCCCCTGTGTGTTGATCAGTTCATGAAGTTTAGTCACCTGCTTTATGAAGGTTATGATGTTTCATCACTAATCTGTTATTTAAAGTTATCTTTTTTTTTTTTTACCGATTTAATCACCAATCAAAATTATGATGTTGAACCACATTTTTTTCTGTTTTTTTTTTTTAAATCAAATTTAAAATGTGTAACTATCTGTTTATTCATCAACTATGTGATGTTTAATTTTCTTTGGTAATCAATATTTTAATATCAGTCACTTATGTGCTTATCGAAGCTATGATGTTTAATAACCTTTGTCATGATCACACGTGTAATTTTATATGACGGAAATCAGTATGTAGGGTCATGATGATGCATACAACATACAAGTAAATGACCAATATGATATAATATGAGAATGTCTTCACTATTTGAATTCGTCTACGTTTGAGACTTTCTCTACGTCGCCTAGCTACTGGGTTGATGTATGGCGCGACACTGTGAGCTGTGGAGTTCATTTGGAATACTTTTCGGCTGCGCCCAATGTGGTTTGTCTTGTCTTTTCTTCAGCTATAAACTCTGGCGGAAAGTCTCGATTTTTCGTCCACTTCTGGACGTTAGTCTCATTCCAGAACTTGCAGTTTTAAAACATTCGCTTTACAGATCAAGCTTATTTGTAAGCAGACGGCTGGTTTCTCTTCTCACGCGCAAATGGACTCCGACTTTAAAAGACACACACCTAATTAGTCAAGTTTACGAATAGACAGTGTGACTATTCTCCCCACCCCCTCCCCCCTCATTTTTTTCATGAACCTACATGGGAATTTTCTTATGTAAAATGCAGATTCGGAAAATAACCGGCGACTTGTTGGCAGAGATATGTGGTGCCAAATTCGATTAATTGCTTGTGCAGCTACTGATGTGTTTTAATTGCTGCTTCCGTCGAGGATGAACTGCATTTCTAGTGTCGGACAGTTTGTGTTGGCACATTTAACGGCTGCCTTATGTATTTAATGCGTGCGTATGTTATTGGCTTACAAGAACAGAGCAGCTATGAGGTGACCCGTAAATGTGGAGTTGCAACTATGACTACATGATTACCTAATTACACGAGAATTAGTATTAAAAATAAAGAAATGCTTTCATTCGCAATTTCAGTAGTTTGATCTTGGTAGAAATGTAATTCCTTCTTTTTCCACGTTTGCCCTCACAATGTACGCAGGAGCCAAGAAAACTGCAAATTACTGCAAATTTACTATACCACTTGTGCAGTGTAGGCAGGGGGTTCTTTGAGCCAGAGGACTTAGGGCCGCATGGCTAGTGCTGTCGCCACGACTGTGCAGGTGATAATTTTATTGTGCACCCGACAGAAACAAATCCCAAGCCTTACCGAGGATTCGAACCCGGGTATACTGCTTGGGAGCCAAGCGTTCTAACCGTTAGTCCAGCTGCTCCTCGGAGACTAGATAGGGAAATGTAATGTCACTTCAAGGGCTTTTTTTTTTTTTTTTGTAATTCATTTTTAGTTTTTTTTTCAGATTTTATTAAATGTATTCTGCTTGCATTATATTTAAAAACAAAAACAAACAAAAAATAAAATTAAAATTAATTTTTTTTTCTAAATAATAAAATGCTCCAGGTATTTTCTTGTCCTTCTGCTGCGGCTGCTTTTGCTATTGTTACTTTTTTTTTTTTTTTCTCCTTCTCCTTCATTCAATCTCCTTCTCTTGCCACTGATGATAAAACAGATCGATAAAAACCAGACAAAACGTAGAGCCAGTCAACTTCACAATATCATAAATACAAACGAGAAGTGAACGTTGCGGCTCGAGAGTCTTTATCATCACATACCTGAATCATGAATTATTAACACTAAATATCAAATGGACAGATTGGTGGAATATTTTTGAAATTGCTTCTAAATAGACCAGGCCCAGAGGTTCCCCCAGATATCCAGCCTTTAGAAATGGAACTGGATATCAACTGTGAGATACCATCCAAAGAGAAAATTAGAAAAGCTATCAATCTTCTCAAGGAAGGAAAGGCGGCAGACCCAGATGGTATCCCAGCTAAAGCTATTAGGGCCAACATAAACACATCAACAGAATTGCTACATAGATTATTCAGTAAAATCAGAGAGACTGAAGAAATACCAGCAGACTGGAGAGAAGGATATCTTGTGAAACTGCCCAAAAAGGTGATCTACAGGAGTGTGAAAACTATAGAGGAATTATGTTGCTGTCAGTTCCTGGGAAAATATTAAGTAGAATTATTTTGGAAAGATCAAAAGATGCTGTTGATAAAAAGCTAAGAGATGAGTAGGCAGGTTTTCGGTCAAACAGATCCTGTACTGACCAGATAGCCACATTACGTATTATAATAGAGCAAAGCATTGAGCTGAACTCACCACTTTACATTGGATTTATAGACTACGAAAAAGCATTTGACAGCATTGATAGGGGAATCTCTCTGGAAATTGATTGGGTACTATGGAATCCCACAGAAAATTATCAACTTAGTAAAGGCAACATATAAAGACATGAAATGTCGAGTTCTTCATGAGGGAAAGCTAACAGATGCATTTGAAATAAAAACAGGTGTGCGACAGGGATGTCTTTTGTCGCCTCTCTTATTTTTACTGGCTATAGACTGGATTATGACAACAGTAACTGCTAACACCAAGAATGGAATTCAGTGGACCCCTACAAAACAGCTTGATGATCTGGACTTCGCTGATGATTTTGCTCTTCTGTCTCATTCACGGAATCAGATACAAGATAAATTAAATATACTTGATGCGAGATCACAGCAGCTTGGTCTGAAAATCCATAAAGGAAAGACAAAGATAATGAGAATAAATCAGGCAAATAGTAATGTGGTTTCTCTTAATGGCACCCCACTCCAAGATATGGACTGGTACACCTATTTGGGCAGTAATGTAGATAAAGGTGGAGGAACAGATAGATATATTAAAATAAGAATACAAAAGGCAAGAGGGGCTTTCATAGCACTAGGGAATTTGTGGTCAAAAGAAATTAAAAGAAATACTAAACTGAACATTTTGTATTCTAATGTCAAATCAGAACTTTTGTATTGGACGGAAACATGAAGAACAATTAAGGCAATTACTAATAAATTACAGACATTCATTAACTGGTGTCTGCGCAGAACAGAGGGAATAAAATGGTATGATAGAATAACTAATGTAGAGCTTTGGGAGAGAACTAAACAGGCTCCAGTGGATCAGGAGGTGAGGAAAAGACGCTAACGTTGGATAGGGCACACACTGAGAAAACAGGAGAACAGCATAACTAGAATGTCTTTGCATTGGAACCCACAGGGGCATAGGAATAAAGGAAGGCCAAAAAACACATGGAGAAGAGAGCTGGAGAATGAA